CGTTGGACGCTGGATTCGCTTCCGACCTGGAAGGCCCACAAAATAGAAAGGCTCGAGACTGATTTGACTTCGTTTTTGCGTGTTTTTGCCATAAATGTTCCAGAAGGTTCGACACTCCAGTTAACGCATAGCGCAAAGCGCTGGCGCAGCAGTCGACAGTTTGCCAAGTGTTCCAGAAGTGAACTCCAATCCGAACTCTGAAGATGGCCGCCTCAGGAAGACAAGGCTCGCGGCTTTGGGCCTAGGTCACAACTCCATCACGGATGAGGCAGGGCGGCTAGGTTCGCGCCGGCGCGCACGATTGGGGGGAGATGGTGGATGCGGTATTGGTGGCCACATCGAGGGAGTTTGTTTCATTACGGTTCAATCAAGCAGGAACAGCAGGATTGTACATGTAGGGTCTATTATCTTAGTAGTTTGGGTGCTATTTTCAGAGGTATGCGGAGGATTCAGCATGTGGTTTGGAAAGAGTTGGATCTCAATACTTGATGATTGGTCAGTCATCCATTGGGCGGTTGAACCAATCACTGTATAAATATTGCAAACTGAGATGCCTACAACTTAGTTTGCTTTGGGAAAGCGCGGGTGTACGAACTGCACATCATACCTGGTGTATCCAAAACTTCATCCAGACTGCCAGAGAGCTCTTAGCTCGATCCTCCATAGCTCAGCTTAAGTCAACCCCCAGTGTGGTGGACTCCTGCTTTGGCCACGACGCATGCATCCTGCTTAACGGCAGTCGGATCTGACCCGCCGGGCCTTCCTTCGAACCCCGGGAGGGAGCCGCGTCGCGCGGGTTAAGACGCGCCGGTCCGGAGCGCGGGTTAAGCCGCGCACGCCTTGACTTCCATGTGGTTTTTGTTACTGTTTGGAAGCCATTAACTGATTGGAAGGAGCCATGGAAGTCCAAACAGATGGCCATTTTAAGCCATTAACAGGCTTAAATATCATTGTTTGGTTGATTAACAGAGGGGATACCCCCAATTGATCATCAATAGGATCCAATGATGGTAGTGCCTGGCACCGACCGCTCTATACTTCCCAAGTACGAACGGAAAACATGACATCACCGTTGGCTTCGGGGCAGGGCGTGAAGGTGTTCTGCGCTGCGAAGTGGGGCTCTTTGCAGTCTTTGGAACTCATGGGGAATGCAATTGGCCACTTGGACTGCCGGCCGTCTGCCAGGCTGAGGTGTTTTCCAAAGCTGCCGAATCCACAATGGCTGAGCTGTTACCATAGGTGGGTTGCAGATCATATCTGGGAACCCCTGACGCAGTGTTGATGGGAATTCCTGGCTACTGCAGCTTGAATTCCTTCGGGGCACCTGATTGTCCCAGAGCCATCCATGCACCTGCCCACCTTGCGTGGTGTCCCACACGAACCGAGGTGATTCAGGCGCCGAGTTATTGAAGTCTTCGGTGGTCAAGGAACCACAGCTCCAGGTGTCTCGACACGAGGTGATTCAGGCGTGGCAGTGGGGGGCTCCACACGTTCTTCGCACGTCCTGAAGGAACAGCTGTGACCCGGGAGAACCACCTGTGACCGACTGGGGGGCACTGGTGGTGGCACTGGCGTCGCGTCCGGACTGCGACCGGATCCGCATCGATCGGCGGATCGATCCGAAGACCCTGGTCCAGGAGTGTCCAGGTATGCAACATCATGTATAACCATATACCATATACATATAATATATATATATATATTTCCATAGTATTTCAGTTTTATAAGTATATCTATATATGCACATGTCATATTGTATTGTAATAAAGTATTTGTTTTATTATATCTATTGATATTTATTGTATTTTGTTTATGTGTATATATTGTATATTTGTATATCGTATATTATGTTATGTTTTAACATTATATAATATATATATATAACTTATACATGTATGTATTTGTTTGGAAGGTTGTTGAAAATAGGACATCAGACTATATATTATTTTCCTCCATTAATTAAGGAACGCCATGTGTTTTGCACGATTTGCTGGCTGCGTAGCAGTCGCCACCCTGGTGTTCTCACAGTCGCAGACCCTGAATGAAGGCCAAACTGGTACCAAGAGACCCACCAAGATAGCACTATCTTCGGTGATGAGGTTTCCTTAGAGAAGAGTCACTCGGGTCCGGCACCATTCTATCGCTCATGTAGAGATAATAAACATAATGTTGAGGTCCGGTCCCCACACCTGCCACGGTGCCGAGGTTTTGGATCTCTTGCACCTGGGCGGCCCTGCCGGTCCTCGGAGTTCGGAAAAACCGAAGCTTCGCCCGGAGGCCGTCGTTCGCGGTCGAGTGACCATCCGGCGGCCGCTCCGGCCGGAGTGCGAAAAGGATTCCCGAAAAGACGACGGTCCATGGGACTAGATGACCCAGACACGACGTGTCTGGGACTGCCAGTCCGGACTGCCGATCAGTTGGGATGGTTTTAGGGATCAATTGATTGGCATATATGGCAGTCCCATGGAGTGTCTGGGTGATGTTCGACTCTTTACGGATCCCAATGGGATGTTGACCCTGGGGTCAATGCAGCTACTGTATTCCGTCTGACTGGGATCGGTCAAGGGCTCAACATGTGAGACCGGTGATAGCACCAGACCTTTCAGCTAAATCAATCGTACAACAACTTGTGAAGATGCTGGGAAGTTGAAGAAGACCTTGGTCCAGCAGTTCCAAAGGTTTTTTGTCCCAAAGTGAGTGGATGTTCTGGGCACCCCTACCTCGTGTTTTGTTAGGTTTTGTTTCCGCTACTTGCAGGATCCCTTCTGTAATAATGCGATCCCAATGTATGCCATATACCTGGGAGGGTTTCGGCATGTAACTCTTGTTGGTCACAGATTGCTCGCCGGGCCCGAAAATACACATCCTCAAAATGGCAGATTCTGCACCAGAACAGGCGGAGGGTTGGTCCTCGTCGAGATATGTCGCTCATCTCAGGTACAACAACCTCTCGAGCGAAGTGTTGGAAGAGATCGAAGCGTTGATCAAGGAGAGGCAAACCTCCTAGGAGCTGCCACTACCTCAACACCGTGATCGAGGCGCTGGACTCTGGCGGGGATCGGCTAGGCCACGCGATGGCTGGGTTTTCGGCGAGGCCCAGCCCGGTTTGGTGTGGCCAACTGGTGAGTTTTTCATGAAAAAGTGTGATTTCTCACCTTCCACAGCAGCCTCAGACTCATTTTTCTGACCCAGGTTTGTTTCATTTTCGGCTTCCAGTTTTCGGCTTCCAGAAGTGTCTTCCTTTGACGGTCACCTGTTGCGCGAATGTTAGCGAATGTTTGTTTTGGTTTGGGAGAGGTTTCGCTGCCCCTCTTGGGGGTACCACGTGCAGCAATGCTACTGTTTTTTGTCGGGTTTTACTTCGCACAACTTAAAACGAAGTAAAATCCAACTCTAGCAATACCAGTTTGCCCAGCGAATTGATTGCAAGTCCTACCCTAGGGATCCACTACCTTCCCAGAAGGCACGACTGGGCCTTCCAAGCCTACATCAATAGTCTCCAATCATCTTCTCAGAATGTATGGTGGATCCATAGGGCTAGATTATAGTTTGGGGCTTGGATGAATGACTATCATCACTCTCTGAAGAAGCCTATGGACGTCCAAACACCCGGGCGACCAACCAGTCAGTGCCTCCAGCGCCTTCAGTGGACATGGATGAATTGTAAGCCCCTTGCGGCAAGGCCATGACTTTCAACCATGTTACTACCATTTCCTACACACCCAGCAGGCGCCGTCTCCGACCTCCGAAAGCGAGCCGCTTTTGGAGCTTCCGTTCACGACCGCCGCAGCCGATCTCTTCCCGCACGCCGTGCGGGCGGAACTCCCCGGTGGAACCCACCTCGTCTCGCAGGTCGGTCCTCGCTTCGGAGCGCAAAACCGGCTTCAAAAGGGTGGTCGGTCTCCGGTCGTGGGGGAGACACAGACGTTGGTTAGCCCCCCAACATGGAAAATGGTCATTTGGAAGACCAGGCAGCTTCCTCAAGGAAGCAGTGTTTTCTTTTTTCAGGTTCCATATGTTTTCATGTGAATCTTCCAGGGCGTAGCTCAATTTGCCATAGTATGGAGTTTGGGGTTTATCCTGCCAACAAGCATGGAAGTGGAGTTCAACGGAACATGATTGTCCTTTGGGGGCCATTGTCCATCAACTTCCACCATGAGGACGTTGGAGGGAGGGTTCACATGTCAATCAGATGAGAGAAGTGGGACCTGATCTCTCCAAAGGTTGGGCCCATCCCCACATATGTTTAAAACAAACAAGCAAATACAAGCAATAGCAACAAAAAACAACATTCAAGGGACAATACCAGACATTACCAGACAAACAGATAAACACATCAAACATAGACAGACAAACAATCAAGCAAAGAAAACGCAAATCCAAAGTCAAGCAAACAGCTCCCCTGCGTCAGACCGGATCCGGGCCCGGCCCGTCAAAGGTGAGTCAAACACTCAAACACCAAACATCCCCCAGCCCAGAGGCGACCCTGGAGCCGAACCAACTGCTACGGTTTGGTTCAAAACCCTGCTTGTGAGGGTTGACCCTCACGTGTCATCACTGTAGCTGCCACTCAATCTGCCGCCCAGCCGAGTCTCGATGGCTAAGTGTGCGAGTGAACTGATGAACTCATGTCCATGTCGATGGCCAAGAGGAGCTAATTAGGACCTTCATAGCAGGTGGAGTTTCGACTGGCTGCACAGCGGGATGTATATTAAGGCTTCAGTTGTTGGCGAAAACCGTGGTTGTTTGACGACTTTTGATATTAGGTGAACAGAGGTTACTAATACTAATTGATTATACTAACACTAATACTAATACCAACGCCAATACTAATAATAATATATATACTATATAATATATACACTTACTACTTCAAAAGAACTGTCATGATATGGAGCACATCATCAGGCACTATCATTACTTCCCAAGTACGGCTCTGTTGCATGACAAGGTGACAAAGTGTATTTGCTCTTCTGTCATGCACCACTACTTCATCATCCCTGAAGTTGTTCAACCACAGTGAACGCGGTGGTCACCGGCCAAAGTGCTGCCGGAGAGCCCGCAAGTCACGGCCGCGATTGTGTGCTGAAGCGCCATGGTCTTTCAGCATTGGGCTGAGGTAGGGAGCGTTCTTTGGCATGGGCGCTTTGTGAATCGCATAATTGGATGCGTGCGCAGGTGTGCCTGTGTGTGTGTGTGTTTAGCTGATTTGTTTCTTGCATGTTGCGAGAAGCGAATTGTGTGTGTGTTTTTGCTCCTTCCAGCTTGATTCAGTGCCCAAGTCCGGCAGTCCATGCCCTTCCTGTTTTGATGACGTGGTTTTGATGTAGGACCAGAGTTTTGGCAGCAAGTCGTGTTGCGTCCCTGGAAAAAATGTCCAGGAAAATCGTGTTTGCGTCCACTGGATGGTGTTCTCGATCTTCGCCACTCTCGTGTCCAGCGTCCGGATCCGCCAGGCGTAACGTCGGTGCGATCCAACCTCGGTGCGTCACGTCGTGCGATCTGCGAGCCGCAGAACTTGGCTTGTGTGCCTGCTGCAGATCGAGACGATGGTACCGAGACAATGCCAAGACTTGTTCTTGAAAATGATTAAGGAGATACCTGATGTTTCGACGGGTGCTTTTGTAGAAAATGGTTGTGTATATATCTCAGTACATTCAGATCGCCTGTCTTCTGAACAAACACACACTGAATCTCGCACAGACCCTTTGCTTACATAGAGTAGGACGCGTCGGTATTCTTCAGAAGTGGGGAAACATTCCTTCAGTACTGCCTTTCAAGGCTTTATGCAAGATGCTCCTATTCTGACCGAGCTCGGTCCACTGAACCGGAGGCGGCTGGAACTGCAGACCTGGCGTCGCCCCTGACGGCCCGGCCTGGCACTGTGAAGAGCTTTCCCACAACCTTCGCCGGGGTGGCCCAGCAGCCGGGTCTTCGGAAGTTCTTGCCTTCCATCTTCGAAAGATTGAATATATTGGTATAATATTCTATAACATTATGTATATATATATATATGTGTGTTTACTGTTTTTTTGTTATATAGCATGGCCTTGAGGATTACATTATATCTACTATATGGATGTTCCTTCTTTTCATGATGAAGAGTAAGTGGGATTCCCAGTTTCATTCTTGTTTATGCTTGTTGGAGGGAGAGTAAGACCTCTTGTCTTGTTTCTCACCCTTTTTGAACCTAATTGATCAATTATTCTATATATAAATTATAAATATACTATGTATATATAATATACTCCTCGATCCCGGCTTTGTGTTCAGCTTCCCCTTACTTTTTGAGAAGTCGTGACCAACCGCGCGTCGTGACCAACCGCTTGATCCCTAAGAGCAAGTCTTCTGTTTTTGAGATGTTGGACAAACAAGTCCAAGCATATTAGCATTTATTTGCCTATATTGTAAATTCAGGGTTTGGCATACGTGGGACTCTAAGGTAAGCAGCTTTGTTACTGTAACAGACATGCCTGCATGGTTTGTATTGGCAGTCCTCACTGAACCTTTGCAGTCCAAACCCCTGCATGACAGGTCAACCAAAGACCTGAACCTCACTCAACCTCCAGGGATTCCGGCAGTTCACCCACATGTATGTCCAATCACAGTGCTTTTCCGCAATGGTCCTGGCAAAAGCCATTTCTTGAGCCCTGTTCGGCTGCGACCCTCCTGGCAACCAGCCACCCCAAGCACCGAACCTGTCAAAATATGGGCCAGGAGCCCTAGAGAAGACCCCGTGATGACTCTTCGAAACTTGGCGCCTTTGCGTGCCTTTGATACCAAACGGTCGACTCAACGCGACTTTGTTCACCACATGTACTCCTTTTTATTTCGAGCCATGGAAGAGTCGACTCCTCCTTGAAGACGGATAGAAGCCACTTAGCTTCACACAACTTTACCAAGTGTTTTGTTTTTTGTTGTAACGGTATCTATCTATAGTCCCGGAGCAGCATGAAACAAATCACGTATTCGCAAACTTCAACACAAGATGGGTCACTTGCCTCAAATAACGGCCATAGCCCTCAATACACATGTTGCCGGTTCTCTCACTCTGCTGTTCCAAGGATTCCTTGGACGACCTCTGGCAGTTGGGATCTCGGATGTTGGAATCCGCCATCGGTACCCAGGAACATAGTGGATAACCTGAAACCTTTTTGGGAGATTCGGGTTTCCCCACTAAAGAACAACAGGTGCAGAAACGTGAGCCTCTATTTTCCAGGTAAACTGAGGGGTTCCGGTCAGGGCCTTAGGGCTTTCCACCTGATCTGGCTCAGCGGCCGAGGTGAATCCGAGCTTGCTTGTGATTGGAAGCCGGATCACACCTAAACAGAGCCGTCAGCCACCCTCCAGTCATCCTGACAAGCTCGGAAAAAACCTTGTTCATCCCAATTCCCAACCACCCCAACAGAGCCGCTCTCGCTTTGGACTCGGAAAACGATGGAACGCCTGCCCAGGCCATCTTTGCTACATCTAAATGTACATTTGGCGGTGGTTGGTTTCAGGGGTGAGTGGCACCAGGATACCTTTGCTTGACCATATACCTGCAGGTCGAAGTTGTTCGCTCTATGGACTGGTCGGGTTGCCTGATGGACTGGGTTTCTCACGACCCATCCCCATGACATGGCGGTTTTCAAGCGTCATTGGCACCTGGAGCACCAGACCTCGCCCCCGCCCGCGCGCGCGAGGTTGGAGAAGAAGCTCTTGGAGCCTCCCCAGGAGTCAGTCTCGGAGGAGATGGGTCCGGAGCTCGGAGCTCGGGCGGCTCGGGGGTCTCCAGACCACCACCGGGCAGTCTTGGAGTCTTGGTCTGGAGATGTCTGGAGCGTTAGGCTGGTTTGTTCAAACCTGGGACATCCAGGGAGTCGCAGCTTGATGTTTGTGGTGAATCCCAAAGAACCGTGGTGGTTTTACGATGTTTTTTTAACTGAGGTTGAGACTAGAAACGACAGGTCAAGCATTTTTGGAAGGGTCTTGGAAGGCATATAGGGAAACATGGGAGTTGAAAAGATGGTTGTTTGGAACGGAAAACAGATGAACACTGATATCCCGCTCTTAGTCTAGAGCAGAATTGTGTTGCGGTTGACTTAGTCTTGGATTCCTTTCAGAAATCAGTTCTTACAGCACCAACTATCTGCAGGTGCCGGTCGCGCTTGATGGGAAGGCCATTGCTTCATGCGGTGGGTGCGTCGACCGATCCGCTTCAGCTTGCGACAGAAACCCGATCCGGCCCGATTCAATGAGGACGTTCACATGGACATCGAGATCCCTCCCAGTCAAACCTTCAGCACTTGACACAGTCGACACATAGAACAACTCTGTTTTCATGAAGACCAGATCTACCTCTTCAGACAAGGGGGACCCGGACTTTGTTGCGGACAGGACGCCATCTCAATCAAAAACTCCATTTTACTTGGATGTGTTCCCATGTGCATTGGGATTTTGGACCCCCCAACCCCCCCCAAAAAATATCATACAAGTCAGCAAAAAGATATTAACAGCGTCGACGGTCAATTTGGTGGGGGGGCTCCAGAAATCGGTTCATTCACAGGCTTTGAGCCCCCACCAAATGACGGTCCCAGGCTTCAGCAATCTGTTCATTCACCCTATAAATCGCTGTCATCCCAGGCTTTTCGCACGGCTCCAGGGGGGAGACCGACAGTGGGACCGCCGTGACCCCCACTCGGCCACCCCACGGTGTCGACCGCTTCGGGAGAAGCGAAGCGAAGCGCAGGAGGCGGACGCTCGAAGCCAGGCGAGGCACGATGGAGATGCGAGGAGCAGGGTTTGTTCTTTAACATAGTTAGTTGGGAGCTATACTGTGTATTAGAAGCCGTCATCTTCTGTTGACCGGTCCAAAAAGCCCAGCAGGTGTTGTTTTCAGCTGCTGTTGGACCTCCCCTGTGAAGAATTCTTGACACTGCTTGGGTGTTCTTTTGAGCTTGCACTGTCCAGGCCACAGCCAATGAGACCTTGCCTCGCATCGAGGGTGACACCTTTTCCCTGGAGGAGGAGCCGGCCAGAGGCGACCACCGCTCACGCGCGCGAGCGAGCGCTCCTTTGCGCCGAATCCAAGTGTTGCTCTGCGCCTTTTGGGCGTTCCATTTGGAAATTGCGACATGGTCCCCTTCTGGGGACAAACTCGGAATTCCTGCGATTGATGTGCGTTTGATTTATTCTTTGAATGCTTTATTCTGGTGATTCGTGTTTGCGGCTCCGTGGGCATGTAATGACACGCGTTTGCACACTCGAAACAGCAGGGCGGTGCGAGTTTAGGTGCTTTTTTACTGCGCCTCACTTCGCGATTGGGACCTCTCGGAAGTGCACAAAACACTGCGCCGGCCACGTACTTTACACGTTGGCATGAGACTCTCACACACAATGTGAGCAACCGGGCTGTTTTCGCTTGGGAATTTCCATATAGTCGTGGGACGTGCACGAAACACTGCGCCTGTTGTGTATTTTACACGTTTGCTGGACGCGCTGACATGCATTCTGAGGCGATGCACGGTTTTCGTTTCAGAATTTCCATATACTCCTGGAACGTGAGTGGTGTTCCTGTTGAAAGTGCAAGCGCAGCCCAAACAGAAAGGACAGCATGTGTTTGCGCTGAGCTCCTGGTGAGATTGTCTTCTTGCCAGCATGGTTTCACTGCAGGAAGAAAAGGCCTGTCATCAAGCGTGGCAAGGTGAAGCCCAATGTGCACCATGGACGCGTGTTGGTCGTTGTGCGGCGTGAGTCAAAGAGATGTGTTGCTATGCCTCTCCGTCCACGCAAAGCTCAAGAGGGAGCACCTTGCCCTCCTGGGACCAGTGCAGAAGCTAGAAAGGCTTTGAGAAAGCAATGCTTTGTCTTGTCTGACGCGCACAGACGGTGGCAAAGCCTTAGTGAGCCAGTTCGGAGCGCATGGGATTCCGGTCGGCCCTGCCCGACGCCACATTGATGAGATGACCCCAGTGCCAAAATGAAAAAATGTTCCTTGATCCCGAAGCAACTCAAGATTGTGCTGAAAGCGAAGACCGTGGAAATTGTTTAGGTGGAGATAACCAAACAGAAAGTGAAAGTTCTCGAACTAAAGCTCAGATGAGACGACAAAACTTGCTGGGCAAAGTTGTTCCTATAATTAGTATGTACCACGTGACTCAGCTGGCAATTCGTTATCGATACCGGTTGAAGAATCCAGGTCTTGATGCAGTCCTTGAAGCTTTCAAACAATACCGAACGAGACTGGCACGTTGGACGTAGTGTGGCTGCACAACTGAAAAGAGCTCATTGACCGGGATGTTTAGGCGGGCTAGAACCCACTGCAAAAAATCAATACGAAAACACTCTGAAATCGTTTTTTTAAGCAGAACTGCATGTGGTCGGGCGCGTCGTTACAGGCCCGCCGAGCGTTTTTTTTGAATAATAAGTGTTCGAAGGAACTTGTTCGCGTGAAGCAGTCAGAAGTTCACCAGGCAAGAGCCAGCAAGGGCCAGACGTCGTGCACACCGCGTTTCCGATTTCTTCGCTGCCTTCTTCCGTTTGCAGGTCAAGCTGTCAACATGGTGAGGTCTTGTCTTCAAAGTTCTTTGGCGCTCAAACAGGCGCCGCAACATGTGCAACGAGTGGACATGTGTCGGATGTGTTCCATTTGTGCAACACTTTTGGGACATTTGTGTTTTTTCTTGGTGGAATGCTTGATAATCTGTGTATTTTCTCTATGGATGAGTTTGTTTCTGGGGAATTTTGGTTTGGTCTTACATTTTCTTCCGGCTCCTGGACACCCAATCCAAGCATTACACAGAACAGGAGATTAGCAGGTTTGTTTGCAGTGTTCTATGTGGAATTATTTTTGTTCAACATTGGTTCCCTCCCCAAGTCTTCGTCCGTCGACCCTTCTACCGCGCGTCTAGACCGGCGTATTTTTTTTTCGTCGCCCGGAGTCGAGGCGCTGCAAGACGAGTCCATCGACCCCTACGAGATGAAAGGCATCCTGAGGAACTTGGGCCGTGCCTCGGGAAGGAATGAACTTGAGCATTGGCTGGAGGAGGTTGAAATCGTGTCGTCTCAGACCAGTCAGCACTTGGATTCATCCCGCCACGGGTCATTTCATGTTTGCGGTCATTTCATGTTTGTATCTCGGAATCGATGAACATGTGGTGTCATGTTGTACGATCGTGTGGCACCCCAAAATGACTAGATTCGCCAGTCAGTTCCAATTGTTGTTGTTTGATTTTATTTGATGAATTTTGTTTTCAACGCGTTGCTAAAATTTCAAAGGCAGGTGGAAAAAGGCGAGATTACAAATGACATCAAATAAATGACCATCTGAGGGAGTTGCTGAAGCCCTTCATCCTTTTGGGAGAGAATTTCAGGTATAGAAGATCTACATATGAAGATCGGGGGTGTCCTATTGCAACAGTTGGTAAACAATTGCCACTATTTTAGGGAGAGGCCTTTACTAACCATCACAATCCACTGCTACAGGGAATAGCATAATATACCGCTCAATATGAAGATCTATAATATAGCTTTGATGGAGGAGTGAGTCAGCATCCAATCGCTTCGGCTACCAGCAGATCCGATGATGTCATATCCCAGACACTCGATGTATGGAAGTGTTTCCTAGCTTGTCGTGGTGGTGATAGTGGTGGTGGTGGTGGTTTCATCGGTCAATGTTGGTATATAAATATTCCATTCCCACTCGGGTGTGGCTGGGTATTTGGGGTGTGGAAGGTTCATTCAAGGACAATGTCTCCACCCGACTTCGGTACCCCATTGCTGTAGAAGGACTGCCCACGACAGCAAGGCTGGTGTTTGGGGACGGTGGTAAATGGATGATGCATTGTATCCGATGGCTGATGGCAAAACGTTCAATTTAAATTACCAGGTTGGGACGAAGTTGTGGGGTTGCTTGCACCAAACATGTGCTCCTGGTCCTTTCCATTATATAGCCTGAGAAGATGTGTGAAAACAGGTTCTGAGGGGAAGAGAATCGGTTTCTGGAACTACACTCCTCCAAAGGAACACAGCCAGGCCGAAAGTACAAGGAGCTCACCGGGTGGGGACGGCCTGATGAAATGTGATTCATCTAGACTCGCACCAATCAAGACATGCGAAGCAATCAGCTTCCCAGCTGGTAACGGTAAGAACATGATATATCTTATACTTTACTTAAGCTATTTCCGGACTGCTTGCCTCGATCTTTCTGTTTTTGTTCAACACTCAGTGACTCAGCACCTCTTTGTTTCGGAACTCAATAGCTGTGGCGCTTGCCCAGGTTGCTCCGATGGAGGTGTCCGGGTGTTTGGCCTGCGGCGGGCATTGGCCGGAGTGGGTCGTCCATGGCCGAAAGAGAAGGAAGGCGCATTCACATGTTCCAGAACCTTCCAACAGGTGGCTTTTGGGATGTTTCTTGGACACCCTTAACCTCTAAGAGGCTATTTATTCACCCCTTGGTGGAGGGTTCAGAATTCCTAGGGTGTTGTCCAGTAAACCAGTATAGCTTTCTCTGTAAAAAGAGAATATCGCGATGTGCTCAAATGTCCGCCTGCAACCGAACCATCATCATCCACTAGTGGGATATACCGATATACCACAAGTATTCCTGTGTATCACTGGTCTGGGCCTTTACCACCTAACAAAATTTTGTTTGTGTTATATATTAAACTGAAGAGCAGTCTACAGTGTGCGTTCCAGACCTTTGTGTGTGTTTAGCCTATTTTGAACACATCAGGTCTTGAAAACAAGAGGGGCCTTAAAGACCTTTGTGCAAATGATGTTCAAGTGTCTTCCTTTTATGGTCATGGGTGACCCAAGGACACATCCTTCCATTTGAGTTGAGTCTTGGAGACGCAGCTTCTTAAATTGAACAGATATGAAAAGAAACACATGTTCTTCTTATTTGCGTTTTGTTTGTTTCGGCCACCACCACCTTGACGCACGTCATTGACTCCCGTCCCTGCGTCAGGCTCCTCACTGGTGCGACAGCTCTTTATTGGCCAGGTGCGACAGCGGGGGCTTGCAGGAAAAATGGTGTCTAAAGGAAGAAAGGTCATAGAAGAAAAGGAAAAGAACGGTCTAACGGAAGAAAGGTGTAAAATAGGACAAACGGTCTGAACAAAGAAAAGAAAGAAAGGGCTAAAGGAAGAAAGGTCAAGAAAACAGAAAGCAACTCTTTTAAAGGAAGCAAGGTCGAAAAAACAAAAAAAAACAGACAAAAAGACATGTAAAAAAGAAGCCAGGCCTTAGAAAGGAAATCGAAAGGTCCAAAGGAAGAACGGTCTAAAAAAAATCAAACAAACCGTTTGCAAAAATCCTGTCTTATAGAAAAGACACACAAACAATAAATAGCAGAAACGAAAGAAAGGTTCAATACAGAAATGTCTAAAGGAAGAAATTGTTTGTACAAAAAAAACTGATGGAACGCCTTTTTGGGTGAGGAAACGATGAGTGAACAAGTCTCACGCCGCCTCCGTTTTGGACATGGCCAGAACGAAACGGCCGACCGGCTGGGATGACCTCTAAGGGCTTAACGTCTTTGTAAACTGCGCAGCTAAGACGTTGCAACACACTGTATATAATAATGAATCGACATTTCTCTTCATATAATGTTGTATCTTAAATAGTAAAATCTGTCCCCCTAGGAAACAATCAAGCGAGTATGAATAGTATCCCGGCCACAAAACAATTAGTAGTATTGGTGGCAGTAGTGGTAGCAGCAGCAGCAGTAGGAGTAGGAGTAGGAGTAGTAGTAGTAGTAGTAGTAGTAGTAGTAGAAGTAACATCATGATTCAAGCAAACCAGAGAAGAGTTAAGTAAGGATTTCAGAAGGGCAGCAATAGCAGAACAATAACAAGTTTTTCTTTACCTTTAGGGCTCCAAGTTTGTTTATTAATCCAACCCTCTAAACAATTGATGTTATTCACTTCCCCTGTGCTTGTGTACCACCCCTTGATTTTTTTGGAGCAATGACAGCAATGAGTTCGATGATTCAAGCAAACTTCAGAAGAGTTAAGTTAGGAATTAAAATGGCAGCAATAGCAGAACAATAATTAAGTTGCCGTGGTGGTGGTGGTGGTGATGGTTGTGGTCTGAATCAATAACTAACTAGACAAGACAATTAGACATAGAACGCCCTGGCTGAATTAACTGTCTATTCTTCCCTCCCACTAAACTTTTCAGCATGTTGGAATTGTTTGGCAACTATTTTTACTATTCCCTCCCACTTGACCCATTTGGATCCGACATTAATATGAAATAACTAGATTGAAACAGTATGAAATAGTCCGTTTCCGATGACTGAGACAGCTTCATCGTGTTCTTTTCAGATTTGATTTTGCAGATTGAAGTCATCAACTTGTGAACTGTATAACTATATACAGAGGGGCAGCCAGTGCAAGTGTACAGATTTCACAACAAGCACAGAGTCATGACCCCATGAGCGAGTCAATCCCTTTGGCCTACCCCTTTGCTACCCTGAACTCGACTCTTCAGAGAAGGTTTCGTTTGACATGAAATGCACGACTTGTTCGCACCCATGGAGGAGGAAGTGGATTCGTTCAGATCTGGTCACTCCCTAAGGATCGACTGCCACCTTCTCAGAAGGTACTTGGGCCCCCCAAAGCATCAACTGCGTCTCCCTGCTCACCTTCTCAACCAGGTATTTGGATCCATAGGGCCTGAATCTGACGGAGGAACGGATTGGGACTCAAGACACACGGTTCTGCAGGAGGCACCCTTCTCCTTCCATGGCCAATTACCTGGAGATGCCCAGCAGAAGATCAACGCCATGAAGCGCCTTGGGCCGGGTGAGTGGAACGCGGACGAGCTCGTCTCAACCCCGCAGACCACATAGAAATAGATGCTTTGCTGACCGAGCGTTTGGCTTTACAAGATTCAGACTAGGCATACCTTGAGAGCGGGTAAAGTGATTTTTTTTGTAGACCAAGTGTGTCTTACCACTATACCGGTTCTGTGCTCCAAACCCATCACAATATGTCCCATGTGTTTCAATGTGTGTGTCATCTCCTGTCTGCTGAGATGGGTCTGGCTCAAGAAGTCTGAGCCACGTGGGAAAACCATGGCGGTGGATGCGCCAAATTCCCCGTGTTCAGAACACGATGGATGGGAATTGGTAGCTAAAGACTTCTTGTTGTCCTCTCAAGAGGATTCAGATCAGACTTTGGAAGCTGAAGCTTGCAAGAGTGAAAGTCATAGCAAGTGTACCACTAGCAGCGGCAATGATGAGTCTCACATGGACACAAAGGTCCCAGGTGATCTCCCCTCTCCCCAACGCTTGTCCGGCTTCATACTAAGATGTATGAGGTTCCCAGCCAAGACCGTCCTGATAGAATGAGAAACCCTACCCCGGCCCCAACACCACCCGTCCTGAGACCCATGTGTGTTCCACCACACACACAGGCTGGTTTAAAAAGTGTGTTCCTGGGGGCAACAGGTTGTTCCGGTGGTGTTCCCAAGTGTAGTCTGACTGTACTCCTGACTTGGTTATGCCTGGTAGCTCCTAACCTCAGACATCTGCGGACATATCAGGTCCTAAGGAAAAGTGTATTCCAGAGTGTATTCCAGAGTGTATCCCCGAGTGCATTCCAGAGTGTATTCCCAGACTGTTCCAAGTGTATTCTGAATATATGCCTTATTCTATCATTGTATTCCATTTGCTCTTGTGCAGCCACAGTGTGATCCCAACATGTTCCTTGAGATATTGGGAGTTTGTGTTGGGAAATTGGTTTAGTGATTAGTGACTATAGTTGGGCTAGTAAAAAACATATCATGCGCCGTGACCCAACGCCGAGCACTCCAATGACTCCAATTGGCTATCCCCACCTTCCATCTCTCCAGTTCTTTGCAATAGTCAGTGGAACATTCTGGAAGAAGAAGGTCATGGAGCTCGCGGCTGCCATACTCACCCTGCCTTTTGCAGAAGCCTTCCCTCCACACATTGATATGTCCAGGCAGCCTATAGAACGCTATAGTTACTATAGTTACAGGATTCATATGGATTTATATGCCTGAAAAGGTACACACATGGATGTGCAAGTTGATATTTGTCCTCATTTATACCACACCTAGGCATGCAGATAGGGAATGCATCCAGAACACAGCTGGAATGCAAAATAAATAAATAAATGAAATCCAATGTAAGCCTGCTGTGGGGTCTTGTAAGTTTGGCTTTTGGTCCCGAACGGGGGGCAAGTCTGAAAGTATGTGTTCCGAGTGTAAAGCTTCAAGCTTGAGGTTGCAATGCTCAGCATCAGAGAAGTTGCAAGATCTTGCAAGAAGGTTTTCAAATATATATATATATGCCTGGATTGGGCCACCTGAGATGGTGAAAGCAACGGCCCGGCACTGACTGTTCTAACCCGTTGGAAACCCTGGACATATTGTTATCAGGTTCCGTTTGGTGGGGTTTGATTTTGTTTAGCGGCCCAATTGGAAGCAAGCACGTCAAAAGGTTAAGGTGATGATTCATATTCGCAAGTGCTCCTGGCCTACCTACCTCCCTTTCAACCTACCTACCTACCTTTGTTTCAGCATGTTTCGGCCTACCTCCGTTTCGGTTGTTGCGGTGGGTGCCACGAAGGATTATCCCTAGCGGTATGCATCATGCAGATTTCCGGAATTCAATGATTGAGATGGAGATTCGGATTCGGAACACAAAATTGGGGTCTCAAACGAGAGAGTTGGGGGTTGAACTTGCACACAGACCTATTCACCTACCACTTCAAAGGATGTGCGAACGTGTTCCACCTGCAAACAGTGTGAAATCAATTGAAATCATAAATTAGGGACATTTGTTTTTAGACTGTTTTTAGAGAGATCAGGTACACTCACAGTTTACATGGGTATGTATATATATATATATATGTTCTTAACAAAACACTCCAAGCACTGACATGGAACTAGATATAGACATGATATAACTAGATTCTGCTTTTCTGTTCTAGGTTTGTTTGGTTCACTTTTGCAAAGGAGGGAGCGACTGAGGGTTGCCGGGGGGGAAATAGTTCTTCCGGAAAAAAGCAGGGAACCGTTCGGAGCAACCACGGAAGTTGCCCACCCCCTTGTTAGCTGGATCGTTGTTTTGCATTGTTTTGCACTCTTTCTGTGTGGAGGGTAACTGTTTCTGTTGTTTTCCCGAAGGAGATGTCGTTTTGGAAGCTAATAAAGAAGGGTAGGAAGAACTGGTGAAAAATAGTTACATCATGGCTGTTGAACCAGGTGTTGAATCCCCAAACATGGATGCATGACCTTCTCATTCATTTGATGATGTTGTCTTGGGGAAGATTTTGCTCCAGTATCCCCTTTCATGACTGTGGCATCGTATCCTTGAGCCATTCCTGCTTGCCTTGACTGGCGCCCGAAGCATCACCATCACTCGGGCCTGGCCGATTGGATCCTTTTTGGCCTCATCTGCTTTGCAGCTGGCACTGCATTTGGATCCTTCGCAACTGCATTGTTGTGCTCGCGCGACTTAGACAAGTCTTGATCAGGATTCGGGTGGAATGCGTGGCCCAGGTTGATTGTCGAGTGTTGGTGAGAGAAGTCAAGCTGGCTGGCTTCAGCTATACGCTTAATACAGTTATATGTATATATGAGTTATATGTCCTATTTAGAAAGTATGTGGCTGCCAGCTGAGATACATATTATCGACATCAGTGCTCGCAGCTTCAGTCCTCCAAAGCTCTTTGTGACATGAGCTTCAGATGAGCAGGTTGACCTGCCGGCGCGGGATCAGTGGCGACTACAACCATCCGGTGTTTCACAGACAATTGCAACATTTCGGTTCCACTGCCAGGCCGCTGAGCAGCCATCGCTTGAGGCGTCAGGAGATCTTCACGTCGCCTTCGAGAAGGAGTCCAGCGACAGAGAGAGAGCACCGAAGGGTGTCATGTATCATTACCTAAGGCTAGGACATCTTGTACACGCAGGCGATGGTCAACAATATCGCTGCGGAGTATGAGACATACCATACCTCAATGGCCTCAACGTCATCAACGTCAAAACTGTTGAAGTGGCCATGTTCCCTATCGAGACAGCGACATTGCCCAACCTGGGCTGTATGGTAAAGGTAGTATGCGGATAAGTTTAAAACTATTCTGGGGGTATGTTACATGGGTATACTGCTAAGGACCCCTAACATTATTGAACGTTGGTACTCAGTACTATTCCCGCGTTCTCGCGCAAAAACTTTGACAGTTTGGGACCCGCTGGCGATTCATCTGAGCACAGTCTGCTAATCATGAAACTACTTGGGTGCCAAATGTAGCACGGCTCCATTATGTCGAGGACGAGATTGAGAGTCTCTGAAGTTGGACATCCAGCCGGTGGAGGGTCGCCCGAATGCAGATTTTGCTTACTGTACCTCTATCAGTTTCTACACCTTGAAAATCATCCCAGTTGCCAGTTCCCACTACTAGCCACTACTTAAGGTTCCAGGTATTCTAGGTCTATGGTTTTAGTTGTTGGAACCACTGGTTACCGGCTATGGTAACTGGATGGATGCCCTGGGTTTGACAGTGCAGTGGCCCGTTGTGGCTGGCCCACGTGACCTCAATTCTCCAGATCAACGTGTCTATCATGACAGCAGCAGCGACACCAGCAGCTTCATTCCGCAAACGATTGCAGCCGGTTAACCTCTTTACTCAAAAGCTTCCGGATCCAATAGCTGTTTTAAGAGAAATCTTGTTTTTTGATAGGAACAAATTGAGGCAGTGGTTTGAGTTCCGGAAGCGGTCTTTTGATGTGATTTCGTTGCCACTTCCGGCGTTTCACTTTTGTACTTCATTGGTTGTAGACTATTCACTTTTACTTTGTCATTGACCGACGTTATTTTTGTCCGGTCAATGACTTTACAGTTTAGGGGTTCTTCATGGTTCTTCATCAATGGGCTCTTTGTAATCCTCTATCCCGTTCTTAGGCGTTTATAGGTGTCATAACCAGCAGTGGTGATACAGAACCAACCCGCAAGTCCGGGTGTGTGTCAAATTTTAGGCCACGTGTCTCCACTCTGGCTTTCTAAGACCAATTGAAGCATGATTGACTTGGTGTTGTAGTCTGAAACCCCTGAGTAAAATGATTGTTATTTGGTAAAGACAGTTGAAGCTGAAACCCTGAGTAAAATGATGGTTAAAGACAATTGAAGTTGAAACCCTGAGTAAAATGATTGTTATTTGTTAAAGACACTTGAAGTTGAAACCCTGAGTAAAATGATTGTTATTTGTTAAAGACAATTGAAGTTGAAACCCCGAGTAAAATGCTGGTTATTTGGTAAAGACAATTGAAGTTGAAACCCTGAGTAAAATGAT